CCAAACTGGTGTGATCTGTGTGCTCTTAGGAGTTCTAATAGGAAGTAAAATATGAGAATGTAGGAAAAAATGCTTATTTTCTTGCCATTTCTCTGTAAAGGATTCGACTGAAAAGATAATTTCAAGGATTTTTGGGTATGTTCAGTTTATTCTGAGCAATTTTATCACTTTTTCAAGGTATAAGTAGCTTTTTTTGCTTATTCCCCCTACTCCAGGATCTCTGCTCCCTCTCCGAAACGTCTCAATTCTCAAATCCTGAAATGTTTGTCCCAGCTGAGAATACGGACTATTTCGATAAAATCTGTGATCCTGCACCCTCTACTAAGCGTAACAGTGTAGAAGGTGTGACAACCATTCCTCACAAGAATGCAATCGACGTAGATGAGAATGATCGTGTGGTATGTTGAAAAATTACTTGGAAAACAAGTTAACAGAGTTTTTCCAGACTTTGCTAAGTCGCGCCGATGAAGAGGAAGTTTCAAAGGCTGTAGAGTTTATAAAAACTTCCACACTACCTGCTGAGGATCGTAATGATATCTCTGACATCGTGGATCAGAAAAAGATCGAAACTGAGGGTACAGTAATCGACGACATGGACGAGTTTGAGAATACGCAGCGTGGTCATCCAGTTAAAGCTCGTAAGTCTCTTTGAATGAGTAAATACCCTAGAGCTTTTCCAACTATGTTTCAGGACTAAGTTCGGAATGCCGTATGTCAGGGATTAACGTGAATGTTGAATTTGCCACTCCCACCTCAGGATCTATTTTCATCAAGGTAAGTTTATATAACATCTAAAGTAAAACAAGTTCACTAGAGTTCCCTCATAATAGAAAAATTCAAATTTGGCAAAAAAGATTTTCCAAAACCTAGAGAATTATTAACTCACGTTAACTACTATAACATAGCTGTATGGTTAAGTTGGGAAAAAAATTAAAAGTTAAAATGAATTTTATTATCCAAATTTTATCTAGGAATTCAATTTAGAGCTGTATTTTAGGATCACTTTGCCACTTGCCGAATGGAGTTCTTAAACGCAACAAAATCATTCCTGAATATTCCATTCCCTAAAAACGACGACCCAAACCCAAAATGTCCAGGATTGGAGATAGTGGGTTAATTGAAGCAACAATTAAACCATTCACTACTCATTAATCCACTAATTCATTCATCCGAATTAATCGATGGTTGCTTGAAATACCTGATTCTTTCACTTATTCACTTATCTATTCTATTCGTTCAATCCTTAATACTTAATCATTTATTCGTCCATATCACCCATTATCCACTTTCATTCCCATACTTACATTCAATCATTGAATCACTCATTCATTCATTCAATAATTCAT